TCTCTTTGTATCTCTCTCTTTCTATCTCCCTCTCTCTCCCTCCCTCTCTCTCTTTCTCTTTTTCTCTTTCTCTCTTTCTCTTTTTTCTCTCTCTCTTTCTTTCTATATATCTCTCTCTCCTTCTCTTGCTTTTTCTCTCTCTCTTTCTCTCTCTTTTTCTCTCTTTGTATCTCTCTTTCTCTTTCTTCTCCCCCCCTCCCTCTCTCTGTCTTTCTCTCTCTCTTTCTTTCTCTTTTTCTCTCTTTCTCTTTTTTTCTCTCTTTCTCTTTTTCTATATCTCTCCCTCTCTCTTTCTATCTTTCTTTCTCTTTCTCTCTCTCTCTCTCTCCTCTTCGCCCCCTCCCCCTCAAATGGATCTCCTGCCGAAAAGCAAATACACCCCCTTGCAGGAGGAGTCTCCATCTTCGCTAGACGATGGGAGCCCTGCGGCTGAAGGGGACTCCTCTCCTGACCCTTCCTCCTCCCTCCTCCTGCCTGCGCCTTCGCTCACAGGCTCCAGCTCCTCATCCTCCCTCAGCCCCATGCTGCCCGCGGGAGACCCCGAATCCGAGGGCAGCCCCACCACGCTGTGTTCCTTCTTCCCCAAAATGGCGACCTTGAAATTCTCCAACCCGGCCTTCCTGCTGAACCTCCGGCCGTTTTCCCGAGACACGGGGGTCTCTGGGGACCCTCCAGCCAGCGGCGGCAGCACCGCCGCCGCCGCCGCCGCCTTCCCGGACTCACCGATGGGGCTTGTCGGTCTCTATTCCCAGGATATGAACAAACTGAGTTGCGGGAAGAAAATGCGGGTCGAAGGCGGTCAGCTGGGCGGCGAGGAATGGACGCGGCACGGGAGTTTCGTCAACAAGCCCAGCCGAGGCTGGCTGCACCGCGACGACAAGGTGATGGGCTCCGGAGTCTCCTACCTGGTCCGGGTGAGTGAGGAGGAGGAGGAGGAGGAGGCTGGTGGTTGTGGGAGGCTTGCACACTTGAGGGGGGAGGACAAGGGAGTGGGGAAGGAGTGGCAAGTGGTTGGGACGTTCAGGGAAATAGCTTTTCTCTCCCTCCCTCTTTCCCTTCATGCCCTCCTTCCTTCCTTCCTTCCCTCCCTCTCTCCTTCCCTCCTTCCTCCCTCCCTTCATGCCTTCCTTCCTTCCCTCCTTCCCTCCCTCCCTCCTTCCCTCCCTCCCTCCTTCCTTCCTTCCCTCCTTCCTCCCTCCCTCCTTCCCTTCATGCCTTCCTTCCTTCTTCCCTTCATGCCTTCCTTCCCTCCCTCTCTCCTTCCCTCCTTCCTCCCTCCCTTCATGCCTTCCTTCCCTCCCTCCCTCCTTCCTTCCTTCCCTCCCTCCCTCCTTCCTTCCTTCCCTCCTTCCTCCCTCCCTCCCTCCCTTCATGCCTTCCTTCCTTCCTTCTTCCCTTCATGCCTTCCTTCCCTCCCTCTCTCCTTCCCTCCTTCCTCTCTCCCTTCATGCCTTCCTTCCCTCCCTCCCTCCTTCCTTCCTTCCCTCCCTCCCTCCTTCCTTCCTTCCCTCCTTCCTCCCTCCCTCCTTCCCTTCATGCCTGCCTGCCTTCCTTCCTTCCTTCCTTCCTTCCTTCCTTCCTTCCTTCCTTCCTTCCTTCTTCCCTTCCTTCCTTCCTTCCTTCCCTCCCTCCCTCCCCCCTTCCTTCTTCTCCCCTCTTTCCTTTCATCCCGTCCTTTATTCCTCCCTCCCTTAATTCCCTCGTGTCCGCTTCTCTCTATATATGACTCTGGGTGACTTTGGGCCAACGACCCGGAGGCTGGGAGTTCTAGTCCTGCCTTGGATATTAAAGTCAGGGGGTGACTTTGGGCCAGTCCTCCTCCCTCCGTCCTTGCAGGGCGGTTCTTGTTGTGGGGGGAAAAAAAGGAGGCGGAAGGGTTACCGGAGACGTTGGCCACCTCGAATTCCTGGTAAAGCTAACAAAAGCCGGAATATAAATCGTTAGAAATCACCTTAAAAGAGCGAGACGCGGATTTCCTCGGCGTTTCTGACCTCGGCGTTTCTCCTTCTCCTTCTCGCCCGCAGTACATGGGTTGCGTGGAAGTGTTGCAGTCCATGCGCGCCCTCGATTTCAGCACCAGGACCCAAGTCACCAGGTGAGCAGGCTCACAATACGGCGGCGGGACCCCTTCCCGGTCCCTGGGGGTGGGGTGGAGGGGGTGAAAGAGATTCCCCCCCCCCCATTATGTAAAAGTGCCTCTTCTTCTTCTTCTTCTTCTTCTTCTTCTTCTTCTTCTTCTTCTTCTTCTTC